CATTCATTCATTCATTCATTCAACAACCCATGACCAAATACTTAGAATGGTCAAAGGGTCTGTTTGGGATATTGCAGAATATGTAAGTCAAATAAACCATAATTCCTGCTACTGAAGAGTTTACAGTCTAGCAGGGAAAAAGTGACTTCAGAAACTAGAATGGCAAGTGCTAAGAGACAGAGACAAGATTCTTAAGAGCTCAGAGAAAAAGAGGAGGCACTTCCAACCTGGAAGCAGAGACAAGCCTTGAAGGCAAGAAGGATGTCGAGAAAAAAAATTGTTCCCTTTGGCTGGAGTGAAGGGAGTAATAGTCAAAGCTGCGAGGTGGGGAGAGAAAGGTCTTGACATCATGCTCAGGGGTGTGACTTTGGTTTAGAGAGAAATAAGACCCCATGAGAAAATCTGTAGTAGTTCAGTGATAGAATCAGACAGCAAGTGAAAGACAATAGCAAATATTCGTCAAGTGTCAGACAGATGCTAAATATTCGCAGATAGTAACTCATTGTGAAGTGAAGTGAAAGTCGCTTAGTCATGTCCAATTCTTTGTGACCCCATGGACTATTCGGTCCACAGCCAGAATACTGGAGTGGGTAGCACTTCCCTTCTCCAAGAGATCTTCCCAACCCAGGGATCGAACCCAGGTCTCCCACATCTCAGGCAGATTCTTTACCAGCTGAGCCACAAGGGAAGCCTCAGAATACTGGTATGGGTAGCCTATCCCTTCTCCAGAGGATCTTCCCAATTCAGGAATCTAACCGGGGTCTCCTGCATTGCAGGCAGATTCTTTACCAACTGAGCTATCAGGGAAGCCCCAGTAATTCATTAAATCCTCAGAATAACCCTAAGAGGAAATTACTGATACTTTCCCATTTTTAAACAGAGCTGAAATAACTGACTAATTGAGTTGCACAACTTGGGTTTGAACCCAAGCAGTCTGGGTCCAAAGTTTGCACTTTTAACCACTTTATTATACTACATTTTGTTGGAGAAATCTCTCTTGTGCCAATGCTTGGGGGTAGCTTGGGGAGCAGAGAGCCTTAAGAGGCAGGAGAGATGGTTAGGACACCATCACAATACTCCAGACCACCACCCCAAACTCACACAAAGTACATATCTGATCATTTATTCTACTGTCAGAATGTCTTACATGTATTAGTGTTCTCAAGTGGACAAGAAGTCACCAAGAGCTTGTTTCTATAACCTATGTAATATTTAAACACACGTGCACACATATATCACGTAAAAGGGTTTGAATGAATAATTTCTAGTATTCTGTCATTCTCTGATTCTGTAGGAAGTAGATTGTGATGATAATTAGAGTAACACATTCCAATGCATGGCTCTTTACCATTTTACACTTTCCTCCAGAGCACGATTCTATTTAATTCTGACCTTTAGAATGGACTCTTGAGGCAGATAGAACAAGCACTTCTTTTTACAGAGGAAAAAATTGATCACGTGAGGTTAGGTGAACTGCCTAAAGCCGAGGAGCTCCCAAGCAATATAATCTGAACTGAAATTTTGTGGTTCTGCATGACAGCTGCTAAGTCGCTTTAGTCGTGTCCGACTCTGTGAGACCCCATAGACGGCAGCCCACGAGGCTCTGCCATCCCTGGGATTCTCCAGGCAAGAACACTGGAGTGGGTTGCCATTTCCTTCTCCAATGCATGAAAGTTAAAAGTGAAAGTGAAGTTGCTCAGTCGTGTCCGACTCCTAGCGACCCCATGGACGGCAGCCTACCAGGCTCTTCCATCCATGGGATTTTCCAGGCAAGAGTACTGGAGTGGGTGCCATTGCCTTCTCCGTGACAGAGCTCTCCTAAAAACACAACCTAACCTTCATAGTCAACTTTGCATCTGAGAAACTCAGTGTTTCAGAAACTGCACTCATCTTTTCTAAAGGGGTAGAGAGGTAGAACTGAACCTGCTTTTAAAGTGAACCAACCTTATCATAATTTATGGATGCCTCAGAGCTGGAGTGATAAAGTGCTGGACTGAAGACCCCAGTGGGGTGTTGCCACCACCCACCACATTGCTAAGGTTGAACCTTCCATTTTAAGGTCACATTAATTTTGCTGCCCTGGCATTCATCCATAAATGCTTTGATGTGGATAGACTTGGGTATGAAGTCACTCTCTCTGACTCACTTCTACTTCAAAGAAACGAATTATAAATGAATCCACCTCAGGTATGTCAAAACACTGAAAATCATGGGCCGTTCCCTGCTAACTTTTGTAAGACACCTTCCTGGACATGATTACGCAGAGTGGTGTTTGTGGGAGTGTCCAGCACAGCACCAAGCACCTACCAGAGTCTGGATAACCAGTTGTTTCTGACACCGCTTGGGCCAGGCTCTGTCCTAGGCAGCACGCAAAGCAGGTGCGGCTTCTGTCCTCCAGGAGCCCAGCTGGGAAAGGCAGAAAATGAATGAGAAATAAACAAGAAGGTGTGTCAGGTCCCCGAAAGAGCTGTGGAGGAAGTGAAACAGGTGACGTGGTGGAAAGTGACGGTGAAACAACCTCAGATACTGTAGGCAGGGGAGATCTTGTGACAGGAAGTCTTCCTTTGAAGGGCCAGTCATCCAGCTGGCTGCAGGAATGTCCTTTGGGCAGAGCTCACATGGGCTGAGCCTGGGAGAGACGACAGAAGGTGATGCAGCTGGAGTGTGAACAGGGAGGAGAAGCGAAGACAGCATTCTAGAAAGGAGGCAGCCGCCAGACCACGGCAAGTCTTGGTAGGCCAGAGAGAGGAGTGTGGTTGTGTTCAAGTGGGACTGGAAGTGAATGGGGTGGTTAGTATGACTTGAACTGACCTATGTTGGGAAAAGCTGACTCTAGCTGTTGGGTGGAGCAGGGAGTGAGGAGGAAACTGTGTTACTTAGCCCCGGCCGCTACAATAAAATGCCATAGATTGGGTGGCTTGAGCAACAGACATTTGTTTCTCACAGTTCTGGACACCGGGAAGATCATGGTAACAACAGACCTATTTCCTGGCTTATAAATGGCCATCTTTTCTTTGTGTCCTCACTTGACAGAAAGCTCTGGTCTCTCTTCCTCTTCTTATAAGGACACTAATCCCATCATGGGGACTCCACTCTCATGACCTCATCTGAATCTAATAACCCCCCAAAGCACTGGAGGTTCGAGCTTCAACATATGGCTTTTGGGGAGACACAAAATTGCAGTTCATAACAGGGCAGGTGGAAATAGTGAGAGGAGGTGGCAGCAGAGATCCAGGTGAGAGATGGCTGGGCCTGGGCCAGGGTGGATGTAACTTGGCAGAGAGATGCAGGCAGATTCAAGTTGCCTTTGGAGTTGAAGCCCACAGCACAGGACCTGAATGAATGCTTCCACACATATATATTTTTCCTGTTTATCCCTTGCTATCTCCTTTATTTTTTGGCAAAAGATTATTCCATAGTAATTCACATCTTTTTCTTTTAAAGGCACAGATGATAATTACAACCTATGCCAATTCAAATGAATTCAACAAAACTTTATCCCGAAGAGAAAACACAACTTCTCACATTAGATGTTCTTTCTGTTCATATCAGCTCATTTCAACAATGGCTTGTGATTGGCAGTTATGAGCCAGGCACTATGGTTGTGGTAGTGCTGTGAAAAAGAGGGACTTCCCTGGTTGTCCAGTGGTTAAGAATTCATCTTCCAATGCAGGGGATGCAGATTCAATCCCTGGTCAAGGAACTAAGGTCCCTGATCAGGGAATTAAGCCCATGCACTGCAACTACCGCGCCCACACACTCTGGAGCCTGCATGCTGCAGCTGAGGCCTGACACAGCCAAATAAATAATAAAAAAACAAAAAGGAAAAAGACACAGAGTCAAACTTCAATGACCACACAGTCCAAGAAAGGAGAAATATGGGCAAGGAAACAAGGTGATGTAAAGAGACAAGTGAAACGCGGGTAAATGTAAGATGCAGGGCACGGACACAATGCAGAGGGAGAGAGAGAGCAGGAGGAGAGAACTTCCCGGAGCAGGTGCCTGCTGGCCGAAGCATCAGGGAAGGACAGTTCCCTGGCGGACAAGGAGGCGTTGCAGGGCAGGTGGAACAGCATAGGCTAATACTCACAGGAGCAAAATAGCAAAGTTTGTCTGAGGAAGCACAGGCTGCTTAGAATTGCTGGAGCCAGTGTAACAACAGAGGGAGATGAGGCTGTCAACATAAGCCAGACCCAGGTCGTAAAAGGCCTCATTTACTGTAATTAACAAGCTTGTACTACATTCTGTAAGTGATGGAGAGTCAGAGGAGTGCTTCCCAGGGGGTGACACCGTCGGATTTCATTCAACTCTGTGCATTCGTCAGGTGTGTCCCTTGAAGACACACCCAGATGGGTGTGATGCATGAACATTATTTGAGAGTGTTTGTGAAGGTATGTGAATGAGGGACTTTTAAAAACATGTGGCTCCAAGGAAATTATATAACTTGGAAAAGGCAGGGAAGGAAGAGAGGAAAAATTACAGCAGCTCAAGGAGAGCTCCTCGGCTCCCTTCCAGCCCCCGGGAAAAGTCCGACGCAGGAAAAGCAGCCCGTCTGTTTTGTCTGCAGGCGTCTGAGGCGAGCTCTGCTCCTCCACAGAACAGAGCGATTCATGCAGAAGGTCGGGAAGAGAGGTGCCCATTTTCCAGGGGCTCCGATGCCAATTCCAGTTGCAGTAAGAAGGTGACGGGAGCCTAGAGGACTGGCTATGCCAAGGTACACATTTGCAGTGGGCACACCATTAAGGCATCTAGTAAAAACTCCTAATTGTGCTCAGAGGGTTTTCATGGAGCTTGGCAGCTTGGACCGGCTTGGAATGTATGCCTCCCAGGCCTGGCTGAGCGGAGCCTTGTCGCATCTTGGAGGGTCTCGAGAGATGGCGTGAAAAGACAGCCCCAACGCAGGAAAACAAAACTCATTTGAATTACACTTTGATTTTCTTTTTTGCAGATGCCACATAAAACCTGGGGAGGGGGATGTCATAAACTGAAGTCAGGAGAGGATGGCATCGCTCTGTGACATTCCTGCTGTGCAGAATGAACTGGGAAGGTCAAGGTTTCAATGCGGAAACATCCCCTGAGGCTTCCAAATGTTGTTGTTGGCTTTCTGGCTTGTTTGTCGAATCTGTAGGGGGGCAGCCCTCCTCTTTCTAGTGGGCAAAGAGGCAAAATGGGACTCAGGGTATGGCCGGGAAATGAAATTGAAATAGTTCTATTATTTGGACTGAAAATGCTCAAACATTCTCTATTGTCAGCTGCTATGAAAATCTTATAAATCTGTACGGCCCAGCAGGGTAGCAGCCAGCTGCATCGTATTTGAAGTTAAATTTGCGCTAGCCACATGTCAAGTGCTTGGAAGCCATAAGCGGCTGACGGCTGCTTCGTTGGACAGTGCAGATGAAGGCCATTTCCATTGCAGCAGAAAGTTCTATTGGACGGTGCTCTTTTAGACACTAGCTTCTTGGTGCCCTGTGCTCAGATAACTCTGAGTGCTGCTTCATATAGTGTTGTGGTAAGAATAGCAATTACATTAATAATAATGATGACGATGGGCTGGTTTTGCCAGGCAGTGGGCTAAAGCGTTCCATATGTGGCAGGTTAATTCAGAGAGAAGTTAATTTTTTCATCATTGCCTTCTTTCTCTCTCCCCATCCAAAAATCCAAGAAAGAAGTGACCAAGGAGAAGTTGGTGTTGAAGAACCAAGAATCAAAGTCAGCTGAATATAACATATCTCCTTCTCTTTGTCAGGAAAAATGCTAAGTTCGTGGAGGGGATGGTGTTGGATGTCATGGCCAGGGAGAGCAGTGAGCGGAGGAAGAAGCAGGAGAGGAGAACGGAGCAAGGCCCCCAGACTGAAAGGAGAGCAAAGGTCAGGAGGTCCTTTGGCAGTGGAAACCAAACCCCACTCCTTAGAACTGTGCTGCTGCTAAGGCTGAGAGGAATGGTCATCTGTCCTGGGAAGGCTGGACTCAGGCCCTAGGCTCCCAGCCCTTGCAAAGATTTCTACACCCCAAACAGGACACAGAAGCCCTGGAATCACTGAACTTTTAAGGATCACCAGCTGGGCCAACACTAGTCCATGTGGTGAAGTGAAAGTCACTCAGTTGTGTCCGACTCTTTGCAACCCCATGAACTATACAGTCCATGGAATTCTCCAGGCCAGAATAGTGGAGAGGTTTGCTGTTCCCTTCTCCAGGGGATCTTCCCAACCCAGGGATTGAATCCAGCTCTCCTGCATTGCAGGCACATTCTCTGCCAGCTGAGCCACAAGGGAAGCCCAAGAATACTGGAGTGGGTAGCCTATCCCTTCTCCAGCGGATCTTCCCGACCCAGGAATTGAACGGGGGTCTCCTGCATTGCAGGCGGATTCTTTACCAACTGAGCTATCAGGAAAGCTTTATGTGCCTCTGTGCTAATTAGAAAAAGGCAATCTTCTTCTTCATATAAAATAAAGTTAGTATTTTACTGATATGGGCTGAATTGTGACCATCCCCTCCCCACACCAAATTTGTATGTTGAAGCCATAAACCCTAGTACTTCAGAAAGTGACTGTATTTGGAGATGGGTATCTAAAGAGATGATTAAGTTCAAATGAGGCCTCAGGGTGGGACCTAATCCAATCTGACCAATGTCCTTAGAGGAAGAGGAAATTTGGACATACTGAGAGACCACAGAAGCCCGCATGCACAAAAAGACCACAGGAGGCCACATGCGCAGAGAGATCACGGCAGGAAGCAACAATGGGATGGCCATTTGCAAGCCGGAGGGAGAGAGACCACAGAGACAACCAGTCCTGCCAGCACTTTGATCTTGGACTTCCAGCCTCCAGAATTGTAAGAACATAAATTCCTCTTGTTTAAGCCACCTAGCCTGGGCTACTTTGTTATGGCCCCAGGACATGAATACAGTTCTCATGCTGTCTGACCAACTCTCCCTGGTTAGTCTTCGTGGAGCCTGTGCTGGGCAGGGGTCCTGACAGCGAGCTCACTCCTGTTCACACACACGCTGGACGTGTGGACAGGTGCAGAGAGCCCGTCGGGGGCAGAGGGAGGGGCGCACAGAGGCAGGGTCTCTGAGCTGTGGTTGGGAGGAGGCAGCAGCTGCTGGCACGAGGGCGGGCAGTGAGCGTGTGTGTTTGTCATCTACAGGTGTGTGCAGAGCGGAGCGGACCTTGCTGTTCCAAGACTGAGGCACAGGTCTGGACTCTGCACACCCACCCTCACAGTCCCACAGACCTGAGTATAGATCTCTGCTGTGAACAGCGCCCCTTTAGAGGAGACGCTGACCTGCATGACCCTAGGAGAGAAATGCCATGGCATTTCCCGCCAACCCAGTGGAATGGGAGATTGGAGGCAGATTTAATTCTTTTCAACGAAAATACATTATGTGATCCTTCTTGCACATATATTTGTGAAATAAGATTCCTGTTTCATGTATGAGGCTGAAGCAGAAGCTGTCTGCCAGAAGCCTGGCAGGCAAAGAGCCTAGGGAATAAGTACCCCAAGCCTACTCTTCCATCCTCTGCCCTTCGCTGTGAGAGTTGGTGTAGCTGAGCCCAACCAGAGGCGCAGAGCAGGATAAGAAGGGCGAAGAGTGAAACTAGGCCAAACAGGGAAGTTCAGCCTACCTTTCAGGTGTGTGTCAGTTTATCTAGGCTGCCAGAGATCGTCCAGAGGTCAGGTGAGTAGCTCAGTCATGTCCAACTCTGCGACTCCATGAACTGCATCATGCCAGGCTTCCCTGTTCATCACCAACTCCCAGAGCTTACTCAAACTCATGTCCATCAAGTTGGTGATGCCATCCAACCATCTCATCCTCGCCAGAGGTAGGCCCCATTATTATTCACATTTTATAAATACGGAAGCTTAGGCTTGGGGAGGTGTTTAAATGATTTGTCCCTTGAGATTCTAGAATGTAAGCTCCACAAAGGCAGTGACCTTGCTTGTCTTGTATCCCATTATATCCCCAGGGCCTAAAAATGTGCCTGGAACATAGTAGGTGCTCACTGTGTGTTTGTTGAATGGCTAAAAGAGTGAACTCCTCTAAGATTCCACAAGTACCACACGGGAGTGTAGGATTGAAACCTAGACTCTCTGAGGGCAAAGCTCACAGATCTAAGGAGCACATCAGTGTTCCTAAACCAAGGTCTGTAGGTCCCATGGGTCTAAGAGTTTGCCATGATGATTCTAAAATTTTGTGATTTAGGGACTTCCCTGGTGGTCCATGCTCCCATCTCAGGGGGCATGGGTTTGATTCCCGGTCAGGGAACTAGATTGCACATGCCATAACTAAGAGTTCACATACTGCAAATAAGACCTGGTGCAGCCAAATAAATATTTAAAAAATTTTTAAGAATAAATAAAAAATTTTAAAAATTGTAATTTTTGTGTACTAATGTCAAATATAGTCTTAAAAATTTAATATGAACGTGTTCCGGATCACCAATCCCGTAAACAGGGACTATTTTCCCAAGTCTGTGTTGTGTTTATTGTCGTATTGGCAGAAAGCAGTAACACTGTAATTATCTTGGGTTAATGACAAAGGAGCATGAATGGACCTAATTCCTGAGCGATACCTTGGAAACCAACTGACATCAAGGAGCACTGTACAAACAAGAAAAGTGGGGGTGGGGCCCACACAAATGAACTGGCACCCGAAGTCAGAGCCAGGGTCTCCTCACGTTCAATAATTTATGCTAGTGCAAACACCATCTCTCACACTAATATTATTATTCTGAATTATACTGATTGTGTACGTTTGGGCTCTTATAATCTGTTTGGTTTTACAGTTGCATAGGAGGTTAGATATAATTTTATGCTTTTATAGTTTGGGATAAAACACAACTGAAATCAACCTATAATGGTTTTTTAACTTTAAAATATGCCCAGGCATTAGTCAAGTATAGGAAATGCTTGTACTATATATATATGTTACAAACTATAGAATGAACGGCTTACAGCAGGAACCCAACAGAGGCAACACAGACATAAGTACAGATGTGTCTGGGAAGAAAAGGAAGCTCTTGATTTTCCTCTTCAAAAGCTGGAAATAGCTATTACTTTTTTGGGCACCTATTAGTCACTGTACTGAGGTTTTACATGTGCTAGGGACAGAATCATGTCCCTCCAGAATCCTATGTTAAACCCCTAACCACAATGTGATGCTGTTTGGAGATGAGGCCTTTGGGAGGTAATAGGTTTAGATGAGGTGCTGACGGTGGGGTCCTTATAGGATTGAAAAGTGAAAGTGAAAGTCGCTCAGTCATGTCCAACTCTGCCACTCCATGCACTGTATAGTATAGACTATATGGACTGATGTATAGAATTCTCCAGGCCAGAATCCTGGGGTGGGTTGCCTTTCCCTTCTCCAGGGGATCTTCCCAACCCAGGGATCAAACCCAGGTCTCCCGCATTGCAGGCAGATTCTTTACCAACTGAGCCACAAGGGAAGCCCCTGTTATGGGATTAGTAACCTTATAAGAAGACACACCAGAGAGCAGGCTCCCCCACTCTCTTAGCCAAGTGATGACACAGCACGAAGGCAGCTGTCTACAAGCCAAGATAAGGAACCCTATCAAGAGCTGAATCTGCCAGAGACTTCCCTGATGGTCCACTGGTTAAAAGTTCAGCTTGCAATGCAGGGGAAGAGGGTTTGATCCTTGGTCGGAGAACTAGGGCCTCACATACCTCGGAGCAACTAAGCCTGTGCGCCCCAACTACTGAAGCCTGCATGCTCTGAAGCCCACGAGACACAATTAGAGAGAGCCTGCATGCTGCAACTACTGACGCCAGCACGGCACAGTGAATATCCCTTGTGCCACAACTAAGACCCAGTGCAGCAAAGTAAGTTAAAAAAAAAAAAAGTACTTTGATCTTGGAATTCCCAGACTCCAAAGATGTGAGGAATAAATGTCTGTTGGTTAAACCATTCTGTGAGTATTTTGCTATAACAGCCAGAAGTAATATAACATGGGCTATCTCAAATCCTCCTAACAATTTTGCAATGTAATTACTTTCCCATTTCACAGATGAGAAATCAGAGGCTCAGGGAGTGTGTAATTTGTCCAAGCCTTACAACTATGAAAAGGAAAATAAGGATTAATTTATAAAATTTTGTGAATAAAGATTAATAGATTTTTAAAGATTCTCTACCTTCTAAGTCTTTTTAAATATGTGACAAACATTTTTCCTACCATTTACAGTGAATGTCATACTGTTAATACTTTTAGAAACACTTCCTAGTTCCATGTGATACTTTCTAAAAAGTTTTTTAACTTTATACTTATCTGTAGACCATTTATTGCTAACACGGATGTCAACTAGGTTAAAACTGACTTCTCAGCTCTAATTACTTTAAATTTTGAGCATCTTTGAACTTAACTTCTCTTACCACTTGAAAGCATTCCATGTGAGCAGGAAACTGCTATATGTCTTCTATACTCAAATGGCTGAATCTTAGATGAAAGAGCTGGGGCTGTTCTCCCTACTCACCCTCTGTAGTGAGTCTCCACATCACCAGCAGCACCCAAGCTGATCAACAGCATTAAAGGTCAACCTCACAGACAGAAGGCATTAATGAATGATACCATCTTGGTGGCTCAGACGGTAAAGAATCTCCCTGCAGTGCAGGAGACCTGGATTCGATCCCTGGGTTGGGAAGATCCCCTGGAGAAGAGAATGGCAACCAATTCTGGTATTCTTGCCTGAAGAATTCTATGGACAGAGGAGCCTGACAGATTACTGTCCATAGGGTCACAAAGAGTCAGATATGACTAAGCAACTAACACTTTCATTTCACTTTCACCATCCCTGATAGGTGATTATCTTCAATGTAAAGATGAGAAATCTGAATCTCAAAAGGTTGAAATGAGAATCTCAAAAGGTTAAATGCTTTGTTGAGGTGTTGAACCTAAATCACTTCAGTTGTGTCTGACTCTGTGCAACGCTATGGAGCCCACCAAACTCCTCTGTCCGGGATTCTCCAGGCAAGAATACTGGAGTGGGTTGCCATGCCCTCCTCCAGGGGATCTTCCCGACCCAGGGATCAAACATCTCTTAAGTCTCTTGCATTGGCAGGTTCTTTGCCACTAGTGCCTCCTGACTCTAAATCTACTGCTCATTTTTGCTATTCTATTTGTTCCCCTAGTTTGAGGAATGTGGACCTCTCAGAGGCCACAGCATGCTTGCAAAAGAATATACCAGCACCTGTTATAATCACTAGCAATGCAAACTCTGTGACAGCAAACTGTTTCCAAGAGGTTAAGAGCTGGAGCTCTGGACCCAGACCGTTGGATTCAAATCCCAGTTTCTCTATTAGCTAGATGTGTGACTTAGTGTAAGTGCCTTAACCTCTCTCTGCCCTAGTTTACTCATCTTAAAACTTTTATATCAATATGTAATATTTATAATAACATGGATAGCATCTACACCATAGTGTTTTGGGAATAAATTAATGAATACACATAATACCTGTCACATAATGCTTAACAAAATGAGTACACAGAAAGTACTCAATAAATACAAATTATAATTATTATTATTTACCACTGAATTATTCAGCATCTAGATTAGTGCCTGACACCTAGTACACCCTTCAATTACTTGTTGGATGAATTAAGTAAATAAGTATTGTAACAGAAGATTCCAAAGATAATATTGTGAAGTGGGAACTCTTAAAACATTTTTACTTTAAAAAGTAAAAATATATCTCCATGTGACAGGGACATTGCACCTTGAATTTACAACATTTCTAGATGCTTTCAAAGATTTAGAAAAATTGATTTTGAATCACTTTGGCTTTTAAATATAATTTCACATCAGTGGTTAGCACAATTGGATGGTGTACAATAGACAGTCACTACACACTTGTTACTGATGATAAATACAATATTTTGGGCAAGAACAGAGGAGAGGAGAGGATCACAGTTTCTAGCAAATAATTTTTGCAAAGACTTGGTGACAAGACCTCGGAGGGCTGGTCTTCACATGACTGATACTGCTTAAAGGTTTCTTGTTGAGCATCAGTCCTTGTATGAGTAGAGGTAAGCTTTATTCTGAGAACGGAACTCCAGAGACTTTTTCCTCCTTTCCTAGACCCAGGACTTCTGCTTTTCTGCAGTAATTTGAAAATCAGGAGAGTGAAAGTCGAGGTGGTTCTCCCCAGGCGAATGGTATGAGGCTGGGCATGCACGATGTCTGACAGCACTGTGCGTCCATCTGCCCAGAAAGCTCTTAGCTTGCAGCTTCTGTGATTCAGAAGAGATGAGAACTGTGGGCAGCCCCACAGGGCCCAGCAGCAGGCTGAGAGCATGCAAGCAACTTTTCTAACCTCAAGACTTACTTGCTCAGGAAGGTTTTGTTCTAGGGAATGCTATTTCTCTCTTTACAGTCAACCCCACATCTCTTCTTATTAGGCACCTTTGACTTTCATGAATTATTTA